AAATAAAATCTATTTGGAGTATTTTTTATTGTTTATTTGGTCATTTCATTTTTTTCAGAGAGGTCTATGTTTTACTTATAAAGGAAACATTAATTTTTTTTACCCCCATTCTCCAGCTACACAGTAACAGATCAGTTTTTTTTTTCTTTTTTTTTTTTTTAATTTTTATTTACTTAGGATAGTCACAGAGAGAGAGAGAGAGGCAGAGACACAGGCAGAGGGAGAAGCAGGCTCCATGCACCGGGAGCCCGATGTGGAATTTGATCCCGGGTCTCCAGGATCGCACCCTGGGCCAAAGGCAGGCGCCAAACTGCTGCGCCACCCAGGGATCCCCAGATCAGTTTATAAACTACTTGAAGACAATAAAAACTACCTAATATCAAACAATTCATTTTAAGGACACTGGTTCAAAATGAGACCATGTTAAAATCCTTTTTTAAAAAAAATATTTATTCATAAGAGACACAGAAAGAGGCAGAGACATAGGCAGAGACAGAAGCAGGCTCCACGTGGGGAGCCCAAGGTGGGACCCCATCCTGGGACTCCAGGATCATGCCCTGCACCGAAGGCAGTCGCTCGACAGCTGAGCCACCTAGGCGTCCCCCATGTTAAAATCCTAATCTAGTTATTTTTGGGAAATAATTGAAATACATACCTAAAAAAAAAGAAATACATACCTAGATTGTAGCTGAAACTTGCATCTTTCCGTCCATTTTCAGCCTTTATAAAACTTTCCTGTATGGGTTTTCTGCTTGGCTGATTAAATATGAAGACCATTTTTCTTATTCTCTTGAGAGGTCCAATCCTCAATGTCCTGGAAGAGCTTTTCCTCCTCGCTGTAGAGTCTCAGAATTGATTGTGAGACTTTGCTATCTGCAGAGTCCACGTTGTGACATGTAAGCATTTGATTGGTAAAAAGCTTGTTAGAATAGCCCCTCTGTCCTTAATTGTTTCCACATGATAAAATACTAACTTTGTTCCTTATCACATTACAATTTGATGAAGTTACCAGAATGTCTGTTCAGATATAGTTATATCACAAGAAATTCAGGCCAGATTGACCATTACAATGGTTGGTTTTATGATCAAAGCCCATAACAACTGCCAGGTTTACCTCTAGGGTTAAAGTTCATTGCTTTATAACATCTTTTTTATTTCCTCCTTCAAATGATAAGAAAAGATGTCTGTTTTCCTTGGATAATTTTTTGTCATGACCAAAGATTTCTTTGTTATTTTGAGATTTCAGAAGTTTAGAAGCATTTAGTTAATGATCATTCCATAGTGTTGGTGATTCATAAGCTTGGGAAAATGTAGACACTGTTTTATGTGTTTCTCATGTAATCATTTCTATGAAATTGGATTCAGGAGGGAGAGGAATACCTTGAAGGCAGTAAAAGATAGTTTTCCAATCATGTTTTGATATCCAAATAATTGTATCTTTTTACAGAAGTTACTTTCCAGTATATCTCTATATATGCTTTGTTATTAATGAGAGCAAGAGAGAACACATAGATTACGGTCATTAAAATTGTGAATTTTATTTCTCGAAATTATAAAAAAATACAGAATAAATTGACTTTTAATTAAGTTTTATTACATGGACTGTAGCTGTGGAGAAACCAAAAGCAAAGCACAGGAAAGGGAGAAAGAAGACAAAAAGGACAGGTTGAATAATCCATCAATTATGACCACCCTCTGCTTTTATGAAAGAGTACTGTTTGGGTGCACTGGAAAAGTTCCAATGTTGAGTAACAGTGGCAGGCTTAACATGAATAATTATCAAGGAGATAAATAGTTAAGCTTTTCCTGGGCTCTGGTACAAAGTTCAGTATTCTGCCCATGAGCCCTAGACTCTTAGCCAGCTCAATCTGGGAGAAAAAAGAAATGCTATGTAAACTCTTCTAGAAGTGACTCTGTTGGCTTTTATTTCTTACCAACTTTATCAACAAAACTGTAGATTTTTTTCTATTATAGATAATTAAAAGTTAATATTTTGTTGAATGCAAACAGAATTTGCTAAAGAGAGAAACTATGCAAATAAAATAAAATAATAAAAAATTAAATTAAATTAAATTAAATTAAATTAAATTAAATTAAATTAAATTTAAAAAATGGCAGCCTGAGTGGCTCAGTGGTTTAGCGCCGCCTTCAGCCCCGGGCATGATCCTGGAGACCCGGGATCAAGTCTCACGTCAGGTTCCCTGCATGGAGCCTGCTTCTCTCTGCCTGTGTCTCTGCCTCTCTCTTTCTGTCTGTGTCTCTGATGAATAAATAAATAAAATTTTGAAAAAAGAGAGAGAGAAACTATGCATAGGTAAAACAACTAGACTATTCTAAAGCAGTCATAAACTGGGTTAATAAAAACTCACGAGAGACACACAGAGAGGCAGAGACACAGGTAGAGGGAGAAGCAGGCTCCATGCAGGAAGCCCGACGTGGGACCCGATCCCAGAACTCCAGGATCACTCCCAGAGTCAAAGGCAGACACTCAACTGCTGAGCCACCCAGGCATCCCTAAATTGTACATTTAAATGGGTGGTTGTACAGTATGTAAATAATATCTCAAGCTCTCTTTTAAAAAATTGATCAGATAAATTAGAATTACCTGTTATAGAGCATTAAAATCTATTGGAGAAGGGTACCTAGGTGGCTCAGTAGGTTAAGTGTCTGCCTTTGGCTCAGGTCATGATCCTGGAGTCTTGGGATCGAGGTCCACATCGATCAGGCTCCCTGCTCAGTGGAGAGTCAGCTTCTCCTTCTTCCTCTAATAACCCTCCCCTCTCTCCTGCTTTTTCTCAATCTCTCTTGCTCTCAATAAATAAAATCTTTTTTTTTAATCTACTTAAGAATTTGAATTTGATCTAATGGACAGCAAAGAACCATTGTGTAGGTTATGAGTATGGAATGGACTGCTCATGATTTCTCTCCTTTATCTTTTCTCTTTAGTTGGGATTTTAATTATGAGAGTATATACTCATTGAAACAAAATTCAAATAATATTTTTAAAACACCTTAAAAAGGGACACATGGATGGCTCAGTCGATTAAGCACCTGACTCTTGATTTCAGCTCAGGTCATGATCTCAGGGTTGTGAGATTGAGCTCTGCGCTGAGCTCTGCATTTGGGCTTTGTGCTGGGCATGGAGCCTGCTTAAGATTCTCTACCTCTTCCATTGCCCCCCCAGCCCCCCCGCTGCTGCATGTTTTCTCTGAAGAAAGAGAAAGGAAGACAGAAAGAAAGTTAAAAAGAAAATCTCAGTCTTAATCCCCATAGATTACCACTATTTAAATTTGGGATTCTAAAAATAAATAAATAAAAATTAATAAAATTGGGATTCTTTTCCAATTCTTTTTTCTCCTTTTTTAGTTTTTAACATAATGAGATCATATTATTCATCTTGTACTGTAACTTCTTCATATAGCCGTATTTCATGGCTATCTTCCCATACTTACATGTGGAGACTGGCTACTACAGGGAATAATAATAGTAATCCACATCATGGAGTCAATGTAAAGATTAAATGAATTGATGCCTGTACGTAATTAGAATAGTACCAGACACATGGAAAGCATTCAATAAGCATTAGGTGGTGTTTTACTATTATTGCTAAATGTAGGCTGAGGGATACAGCTTTCATGAGTGATTGTTTTAATAGTTCTTTTGCTTTGCAACTGAAGTGAAAGCACATGTAAATTCCATTTCAGAGGGAAAGCATTCACCCAGCCACCACTGGGCTAGCAATTAGGCAGTCTGCTGGGTACTAATATTGAGAATTAAATATAACACTTCATAACAGGTTCCTAACAAGAGTTTTGTGGGTGGGCTTAAGGAAATCAGACACTCTTGAAATGTATGTCAAAAGTTTGTGTGTGCCTATATGCAGTTTAGTAAACAATCCATAGCTTTTATTCTTTTTATTTTATTTTATTTTATTTATTTATTTTTTAGCTTTTATTCTTTTTAAAGATTTACTTATTTTAAAGAGAGTGTGTGCTCACCCAAGCAAGGGAGGAGCAGAAGGAGAGGTAGAGAAGCAGACTCCTGCTGAGCACCGAGCCCCATGACCCTAAGATCTTGACCTGAGCCCAAATCAAGAGTCAGAAGCTTAACCAAGGAGCCACCCAGGTGCCCTTGAATCCATAGCTTGTAAAGATTCTCTAGGTGATCTTCGTTCCTTAAGAACCACTTGCTTTGGGGCACCTGGGTGATTCCGTTGGTTAAACATTTGCCTTCTACTCAAGTCACGATCCCAGGATCTTCAGATCGAGCCCCAGGTCAGGCTCCCCGCTCAGCAGGGAGTCTGCTTCTCCCGCTGCCTCTGTCACTCCCCCTGCTTGTGCTCCATCACTCACTCTTCTCTCTTTCAAATAAATAAAATCCTATCTTTTTTTAAAAGATAGAAAGGTATTATTATGCACTGGAAATTCAGAAGGAGATTCTAGCTCTTGAAATTGGGGGAAACTTTTTGACCTTAAACTATTGAAAACTTTACATCATTTAACAAGTATTTATCAAATGCCCACAATATTCCAGTTGTTATTCTAGGCTCTGGGAATAAAACATTGAACAAACAGACAAAAATCTATGTCCTCATGGAGCTTACATTCTTTTGGGAAAGTCACACACAGATAATATGATCCTTCTCCTCACCTTTTATGTTTATACCTCAGGTCAACCTTAATTATATGCCTAAGAATGCCTTCCACATAATAATGTTCAATAAATATTTGATTGAATGAGTAAAAGAATGAAAGAGCTCCTAAAGGATCATGATCTTGGTCTTCCAGCAGGACCACATTTTAACTATCATTTCTTCCAAAATTTTTATAGTGGAATAGAAAATTTGAAACCTGGGTCATCTCCATACTTCCCCATGTGCTGAAGAGGTTTGTCATAAATTGAAGAAATGAACTTGGGTGTCTCTGTTTAATAATAACCTACCTTTAAAGTACTTTGGCACTGTATAAATGCAAAGCATCACTGTTATTTGTCATTTCTAGGTGAGGTGACGCCAGGACTATCTCAAGTGGAATATGCACTTCGCAGGCACAAACTAATGTCTCTGATCCACAAGGAAACACAAGACCAGAGTGGGACAGACCAGACAGTGGTTCTGCTGTCCAACCCTACATATTACATGAGCAATGATATCCCCTATACTTTCCACCAAGACAACAATTTTCTGTACCTGTGTGGATTCCAGGAGCCTGATAGCATTCTGGTCCTTCAAAGCCTCCCTGGCAAGCAGTTACCAGCACATAAGGCCATGCTTTTTGTGCCTCGGAGAGATCCTAGTCGAGAACTTTGGGATGGCCCACGATCTGGCACTGATGGAGCAATAGCTTTAACGGGAGTAGATGAAGCCTATACGCTGGAAGAATTTCAACATCTTGTACCAAAAATGAAAGGTAACAAATAGGAACAGAAGTCAAATCATAGGACAGATTTGGAATTAGCCCTTCCTTGCCTACATAGACAAAGTTCTTAATTTTCTAAAATGATTAGCTCGTAGTTCCTTGAGCACCATGAAAGGAACATAAATCTTTTCCACAAGACTAAGATTTCATTTATTCAGCTGCCAAGTCTTTGTTAAATTATTCATTCACAGAGACTATCAACCCTCCTAGTTTAAAATCCCAGAAAAAGAATTTCTTCTTAATGTGGAGGATGAGCATGTGTCACTCTTCAAGATTACTGATCAGTCCATTGACTTGACCACTGCTTATATTACTTCTGCCAACTCTTCAAAAAGAAACACTGTTCTCAAAGAATGATTGATGCATCACCAGTGTCAAAATTACCTGGTGACACATATTAGAATTACAAATGTATAATAGATACTGGAAATGTAAAATCTTAGGCCCCCACTCCATAACTACTAGATCAGAATCTGACTTCTAATAGGATTCTCAGGTGGTTCATATAGTGCACAGTTGAGTCCATGCCCCTCAAAAGAGTCACTTTCTCTACTTTTATTCTGTTAAAATTATAATCATAATTATGGGATTCCTTTTCTGGAACTTTGCAGAACCTATGCTATGTTATAAATTATCTTTAGTGATTCTTGTAAATCTACAACTCTTGAAAGCAATTTATTTTTTGAAGCGTCCAAAAGTCACTTAAATTTGGTAAATAAGATAGATGATCAAGTTGGAAAGTACTAATTTTAGACAAAATAGCATATGGTTATAAAATTATAGTGTGATTTTCTTATATGGTTTATAAACCATTTCTCAAGTCAGTTTCTAAAAGAGAATTCCAAAATTATTTCCAGTGATCATGGGATTTATTGGACTTGTTTCCTGCAAAGACTGCTTTGCAAGAAAATACTTACTTGAATATGAAGTTCCAGTATGTTTGAAAATGGTTTTCATTGCTTTATGCAAGTATTTTCTATTTTACAGAGATAATTATCTCAGCTAAATTAGTGGAACTTTTTTATAACTTCAAAGTCTTCATAAATGTAGGACACAGAATCATTTTCCTTTTTAGCTTTTTGATTTTTTGAATTAGTTGCTAGCTGTCCTATTCGACAGTGTAAATTTCATCAACTCAGTATTGTTAAATGAAACCTTACCCCGAATTTATATCTCAAAAGACTTCTAATTCACCATTCTTAATGTTACTAGTTACTAGATAAAAGTAGCAGGCAAAGGAAAAGATTCATGAAGTCATATTTATTTAAATAAGTTTAAAAACCCAAAAAAGTAGGGATATGATTTCATACACTGAGAACAGGTAGTAGAGGTGGTTTCACTGTTTTAAAAGTACAATTAAATTTCTGTTAAAAATAAGATTAATGTTTGATTGTAATATACATTTAAAACTGTGTTTATTTTAAAATGAAAATATTTAGGACGTCGTATCACTAATATATAGCCAATCAAAATTTGTAGAATTTGTAGGACTTTTCCCCTCTTCTGTCCCAAATACTTTGTTTTGTTTTTTTTTAAGATTTTATTTATTCATTCATGAGAGACACCCAGAGAGAGGTAGAAGGAGAAACAGGCTCCATGCAAGGAGCCGGATGTGGGACTCGATCCTGGGACTCCAGGATCACACCCTGGGCCAAAGGCAGGAGCTAAAACACTGAGCCACCCAGGTGTCCCTGTCCCAAATACTTTGTATAAAACACAACAACCCCTTAGACTTCAGTTGTTGGGAAGGTTGCTTATAGGCCATGTCAGGAAAAAAGAAAGGGATGAATGGAAACCAGCTGTAAGTGGGAACATCTTCGTCATGAGCCTTCACATAAGTGTTATATCTCAGACACATATAGACCAGTTCCTTGGGTCTCTAGATTTAAAAGGAGAACTGTAGTTGTCTAATGAGAATATATAGCAGATGGGAAAGGAAAAGGGTTCCCGTTAAGTGTGGATTAGCACACACTATCCACTAGAGTGTTTCCATAGCCATGAAGAGTTCTCCTAAATGAGATGAAAGCCTCTTTTCACTAACACAGATTGGGAAGAAAGGGAATACTTTTAACCAGGAGGTCATGATCTGAGTACTTTTTTCTGTCCTCCTGTATTCATTTATTCAACAATCCCTCTAGTTCAGTTATGATGTGGAGTTCTTTAATACTTAACAAATGATGAATGAGATCTAAGCTGGAGAAAAAGCTTTAGTCCCATCATCTACCATCTTTATAAGGAACACTGAAGTTTGGGGGCAGAAAAGCTCTATATTTGGTGTCAGAATATATTGCCATTTGCAGGGAGTACCTTTCCAGTGATATATGATCAAACCCTTCAGTTGCTTCAATCCTGAGAGAGTTTTTGTTCAACCCTCCAGAGTTCTATGCCACAGGTTTTATAGTTTTGACTCTTGCTCAAGTCATTATGACAGTTGGCGTTTCTTGTTTTTGTTTTATTTTAAATTTATTTTTTTGCTGCTCATTTTAAGATGAGACAAATATGGTCTGGTATGACTGGATGAGGCCCTCTCATGCACAGCTTCACTCTGACTACATGCAGCAGCTGACTGAGGTCAAAGCCAGGAGCAAGAATAAAGTTCGGGCTGTCCAGCAGCTGATACAGCGTCTCCGGCTGATTAAATCTCCTGCAGAAATTGAGCGAATGCAGATTGCTGGGAAACTAACTTCACAGGTATGGTTCCTACCAAAAAAGTATTTTCCAAATTAAAAAACTGAAGTTATTAGGGTACTTGGTCAGTACCTTGCAAGGCAAGATAAATCTGCCTTCTTGAATCTTTCACCCGTGGTTTTAGTTGTCTCTCCTTGGAACAACATAAATTAATTCATTGTATTTTCTTTATGATAACTAAAATCATGGCAGCTAAACACACTTTGATTTCTTTTTTTTTTTTAATTTTTATTTATTTATGATAGTCACACACACACACACACAGAGAGAGAGAGAGAGAGAGAGAGGCAGAGACACAGGCAGAGGGAGAAGCAGGCTCCATGCACCGGGAGCCCGACATGGGATTCGATCCCGGGTCTCCAGGATCACGCCCTGGGCCAAAGGCAGGCGCCAAACCGCTGCGCCACCCAGGGATCCCCACAGTTTGATTTCTAAAGAAGACTCAGGACCCAAAACGATAGGGCTTACAAAGCTTAATTTATTCTAGGAAACAGATAACAGTACAGCAACAGCTTTAAAGGAAGAATATCTTTCACTGTCAAAGGCTGTCTCACAGAAAGGGTACAGAGAAGCCAGGTTCAGGCCCTTGTCCTCCCTCAGTAAGGGTGGCAGGATGCATTTTCTCTCATGGATAAGGAGCACAGATAGATGTACACACAGAATGCCTTGGAGCCAGGGAACCCAAAACGAAATCTCAGCTAGGAATTTTGCCTATTTGGTCATATTGGCATATTCCTGCTGTACAATAGCAAAACCCTTCAGAGAACTCACAGTGAGACAAGTACAAACCATTAATCTCATAAGACTAATTTGCCATTTTTAGCCATTTTTAAGTATGCAGTTCATTGGCATTAAATACATTCCCATTGTTGTCAATCACCACCACTGTATATCTCCAGAACTTTCTCATGGCCTCCTGTTGAAACTGTACCCATGGCACACCTGGATGGCTCAGTGTTTAAGCATCTGTCTTCTGCTCAGAGTGTGATCCGGGGATCAACTCCTACATCAGGCCCCCTGCGGGGAGCCTGCTTCTCCCTCTGCCTCTCTCTCTGTATCTCTCATGAATAAATAAATAAAATCTTTAAAAAAACAACAACAAAACTATTGTATACAAAACCATTGTACACAAAACTATTGTATACAAAACTATTTTGTATATAAAACTATTTTGTATATTGCACATTAGACAATAACTTCCCATTTCGCCTTCCCTCTAACCCCTGGTGACCACCATTTTATTTTCTGTCTCTATAATTTGACTATTTTATTTTATTTTATTTTTTAAGATTTTATTTGTTCATGAGAGAGACAGAGAGGGAGAGGCAGAGACATAGGCAGAGGGAGAAGTAGGCTCCCCCACAGAGAGCCCAATGCAGGACTCGATCCCTGAACCCCAGGATCACAACCTGAGCCAAAGGCATACGCTCAAACTGCTGAGCCCACCCAGGTGCCCCTAATTTGACTACTGTAGGCACCTCATATAAGTACAGTCATACAGTATATGTTCCTTTATTTCTGATTTGTTTCATCAAGCAAAATGTCTCCAGGATTCAACATGCTGTGATATATATCAGAATTTCCTTTCTTTTTAAGGCTGAATAATATGCCATTTTCTGTATATGCATCATTTTATTTATCTGTTCAATTGTTGACAGGACATTTGGGTTGTTCCTATGGTTTTGATTTGCATTTTCCTAATGGTTAGTGATGTTGAGCATCTTTTCATATGTTTATTGCCCTCACAACATCTTTAATGAGTATGTTTCATGCTGTGCCTTGACCAAAGTCAGTGCCATGCAAGAATTCAGCAAAACAGCTCAAGCTAATTTCAGGAATTAACCCTCACAGAGCAGTCCACTCCCATAACCCACTGTCCACTCTTTTTTCTAATAAAACTGTAATCCCTAGTGTGGTATCTTTACTTGCCTTATAATATCTCATAATCAGATAGATAATCAAAATCCATATGCAGAATCCAAACATTTACAGTATCCAGTGTGGGGTTGGTATGCATTTAAACAGGTAGCTGAACCACCCATTAATACTTTCCCATGTTTTTGTAACTGTATAATACTTTTGCTTCTTGGATCTATAAGTGTCCATTCTTTATGGTATATATCTACTAAATTATTAATCTATCGTGAATCATCTCTAAATACTTCTCAGACTAGTTTGTCTCCAAAGGGATAATGTCCTGAGATAGCTTTAATTCAGTCTCCCTCTGTATTTGATCATTAATATCAGTATTATCCTCAGGTTTTTAGTATCTACAATATTAATTTTACTTATGCCTCCATGTTATATATACCATATAGTGGTATTATTGTAGTTACAGTATAAATCATGGTGTAGGTGCACCTTCGTGGCTCAGTTGGTTAAGCATCTGCCTCTTGGTTTCAGATCAGGTCATGATCTCGGGGTGTGAGATTGAGCTCCATTCCAGAACTATTTAAGGTTCTCTCCCTCTCCCTCTGCCCCTTCTGCTCCACATTCATGCATGCATGCACGTGCTCTCTCTCTCTTCCTCTCTCTTTCTCAAAAAAAAATCATGGCATAATTATTTTTTTTAAAGAATTTATTGGAAAAAAAAAGAATTTATTGGGACACCTGAGTGGCTCAGTGGTTGAGCATCTATCTGCCTTTGGCTCAGGTTTTGATCCTAGAGTCCCGGGATCGAGTCCCACATCAGGCTCCCCTATAGGGAGCCTCTGCCTCTCTCTCTCCCTCTGCCTATGTCTCTGCCTCTCTCTCTGTTTCTCTCATGAATAAATAAATAAAATCTTTGTTTTAAAAAAAAATGTATTTGAGAGAGAGAAGATCACAACTTGATCCAAAGTCAGATGCTCAGCTGACTGAGCCACTCAAGTGCCCCTGCAATCTTATCTTTTCTTAAATACAATGTATTATTTCTCATAGGAATATAGATGAGAGGCCATATCTCTGTTTTTTCAGGATTTAAAACATCTTGAGAACATAACTAAATTCCTTCTCTAAGGTTACATGGTTTGACAAATATAGTTTCCAGTAAGAAGAAACCTGCAGCAGAACCCATTAATTTACTACAGGAAGCACTCTAGTCCTGTTTAAAATCTGTCCAGTACAGGGGTGTGATCTCACAACCCTGATATCATGATCTGAGCTAAAATCAGGAGTTGGATGCTTAATCAACTGAGCCACCCAGGCACGTCCTTAATAGGTCTTTTCTAGCAGCATGTCTTTACTCATTAAAAACAAATATGCTTGGGTAACAGTCTGTTGAGTATCTGACTCTTGGTTTATGCTAGGATCCTGATCTCATGGGTTGTTGGATCAAACTGTGTCCTCAGCAGTGAGTCCGCTTGAGCGATTCTCTCCCTCTGCACCCTTCCCATGCCCCACCCTCTGCGAGCATGAGCACTTTTTCTCTCTCTCAAAATAAATAAGTAAATCTTTAAAAAAACAACAATAAATCTGCCTGCCCAAATACTCCTAAGCAGCAACTAATTCCACTAAAGCTCTTATTTCATATGGGCCAACAGCAGAAATGTCATTGATTACTAACTGCTTTTCTTCAATTAGGAAGTACATTTGGTACTTCAAAAGTGTTAATTCCCCAGGCTTAGATCACATGAGTAGTAGTCACTCCTACATAGACTTTGGTTTGAGTGCTTTGAGGCACTTCCCATAACCAAACAAATTTTAGAATTCTTAGGAATGTGGGCCCACCAAGTTGTACCTAGATCTTATCCTATATCAGTGATTCAAGTGTCCCAGTTGTTCCTCTTTCTCATGCCTTTTCACCCACAAAAACAGGGCAAATTGCTATTTTTACATATATAATAGTAATTTGACAGAAGGGATATGCAGTAGATAATATTCTACCATCATATTGTGAACCTTTTTAAAAATCTATTTGTTTATTTTTTAAAGATTTATTTTATTCATGAGAGAGACAGAGATATAGGTAGAGGGAGAAGCAGGCTCTCCATGGGGAGCCCAATGTGGAACTTGATCCTGGGACTCCGGGATCATGCTCTGAGCTGGAGGCAACTGCTCAACCACTGAGCCACCTAGGTGTCCCTGTTTGTTTATTTATTGAAAGATTTTATTTGAGAGCACGAGCAAGGAGGAAGGAGCCAAGGTAGACAAAGAAACTGACTCCATGCTGAGCAGGGAATCCCACATGGGGCTCCATCCCAGGACCTTGGGATCATGACCTGAACCAAAGTCAGCCACTTAACCCACTGAGCCACCCAGGCACCCCTCTTTTAAAACCATCATCGTGATTAACAGTATATGATGTTAATTTAGATTTTTAGTCAATGTTTTTCAAATTCAAACTGCTAAACCATTTTCCACAAGTAGCTCCTTCCATTTCCATCCTGTGAAATGCGAATCAAAAAGCACTAACATTTTTGCATATAATCATAGAGCTCCCATTTCTTCATCCATTTGGAGGACATAGGTCACTCTGGGAAGTGTATTAATTAGGTTAACTATTGTTCAGCTCTCTTTTTGGCTCTTCAAGAAAGGAGACTTTATCAGAGTCCTTTGCTCCAGTGGGCTTCTGAGTCAAAGCTAAAAAAAAAAAATATTCTTTTGCTGTAAGCATCTCTTTAGGCACCAAAATTATGGTAGATTTTCCCTCTTGCGGTACTCATTTATTGACTCCCTCCCCCTCAGCAACAGTCTGGCCTTTATTCCTTCTTTCATCACTAATTTTAACCCACACCTTTGCCCCTACAGTAGAATTTTCTGGTTAGTCCTTTGCCAATAATAGGGGGATAGATTGCATATGTACAGAAAAATGGGACTGTACTGTTGGCAACCAAGGTAATTTTTATTTGAGCTTTAGTGGGGACCAGTAGTCTCGTTTAGTGCATTGCTGCCTGGCTTGAGTTCCTCCATGTCCATTCATTTCATGGACCTTCATTGCCATTTCAAGAGAACGAATTAGGCTGTTAATGTATTTATTCCAATTACCTTCAAACCTTGGCATTGAATTTCTTTGGTAAGCATCA